GAATGAGTTTACACGAACTGCATCATTCAGAAAGCAGCCAGGGAATTGTGTTCCTGCAACTCTCTTGGGTCTCCTTTGAAGCTCCTGCTTCTGCTTCAAAGATATCAAATGACAGGAACCTTCCTTTGTTTCCAGAAGGGAGGAAAATGTGAGGACTACTTAAACACTTGAGCCAGTGCTACGCCATCATCACAAGAGACAGTAGCTGAGAACAGCATTCAGCCCAGAAAAAGAAACTCTAAAGAATCACTAAGATTTGTCAGTAAAGGAGAGGCTCCTGGATTCAGAGGTTATTGTTTCCTCCAAAGTGGAGGATGATACAGATCATTTAGGGATAGGGACACAGGGGAAAAAACAAACAAACAAACAAACAAACAAAAACACAACAGCTACTTGCTAGCTCTGCAGAATTAATCCAGAAACAACAGACTTTGTGTTTATATTTCTTTCTGGTCTTATGCCACAGCCAGTGGGTTTATGCAATATCTCTGTCATGTTCTCTTTTTCCCATTTTGTGTCCATGGTACTAAGTGCATTCATGAGAAATCCAAGAGCTGGTTTTACAAAATAGAAAATCTGTTGTAGATGCAATGAATTTTTTAGTGGAAAATATATTGTATTTTTAACAAACCATGACTTCTTAGCTGAAGGAGACATAATGCAGGATCAACTGCATAGACTAAAATGCTTATGCTCAACACAGATGCATTTTCATTTATAATTATGTCATGCAAAGAGCATTGCTGGGGCCCCATTCCAGACAGACAGGAACACCCACAGAGCCATACAACGTAGTTGCATGCTAAAGCAGTTGTTCCCTGTCCTTTGGGACTTCCTTGCAAGGTTTTTTTTTTTTCAAACCAAAATCAACAAAGAGATAAAATGTGTGCAGCATAGCTCAAAGCATACTGGAAAATCTGTGCAAACTCCTCAAAATATAATTCGGGGTGGGGAGGTTATCTGAAAAATAAATGAATTGTCAACTTATTTAGCACTTGAAATTCCCTTCCCACATTTTTCTGAATTTTATTTAGAAGTTCAGATCTCAAGAAAAAAGGTTGACTGACCAGGCAATTCTGAAATATCAAATCTGTCTTTTGATATCAACCCTTATTATGCTATGTGGCTCATGATCTGACTTGAAGAGCTTAAAAGACCTAAGACCTGTAGTTCTTCCCTTTTACCTAAGCTTATAGCCTTGACCTAGTCCCAGTACTCTTCCCCAAGGTCAGCCACAAGAGTATTAGCCCCGAGAGACTGAACATACAAATGGATAATGGCCAGACCATATACAAAAATAGAACTCTGACCCACAACCACAAGCAATCTGCTCAGGAAATTAACCTGTAATCTATAATAACCAGCCCAGGAGGCCAGTCAACTATAAATATTAGACTTATAGAAAGTCAGACTGCTATCTCTATAACAGTGCAGGAAGTCAAACAATAACCTTTGTAGCAATTGGCCAAAATGGCCAAGACTTGATGAATAACTGAGAGCTCCTCTAAGCTTTGACCCTCCTACCAACTTAGGACCAACTAGTGAAAGCCAAATATCCATCCCTAATCAACCACATGGTGTTCCCCACTTCTTTTTTTTTTTTGAGACGGACTCTTGCCCTGTCACCAGGCTGGAGTGCAATGGCGCGATCTCGGCTCACCGCAACCTCCGCCTCCTAGGTTCAGGCAATTCTCCTGCCTCAGCCTCCTGAGTGGCTGGGATTACAGGCATGCGCCACCATGCCCAGCTAATTTTTTGTAGTTTTAGTAGAGACGGGGTTTCACCGTGTTGACCAGGATGGTCTTGATCTCTTGACCTCGTGATCCACCCGCCTCGGCCTCCCAAAGTGCTGGGATTACAGGCGTGAGCCACCGCGCCCGGCAGTGTTCCCTATTTCTAATTAGCCCACCTACAGCTTCCCCATGCCAATAGCCTCTAGTCAGAGCAGAAGCCTTCCCTTTTTTCCACTCTAAAGATTTTTGCTTCTGGGCTGCCTTTGTGTTTCTGCCAAAGCACAAGTTACAGAGGTTAACTCCCTTGTTACAGCAAGCTCTGAATAAATATCCTTTGCTGGTTCTCATTTGGTTGAACTTTGTTTATTTCCACAACTCATTGCTTCTTGAGATAGTTCTTAAGGTTTTCTTTGTGATTTACTGATTTTAGAGAATAATAACCATATTGTTAAGACTTTATCCATTTGAAAAATGGAGGCAAAATCATACATCTAGAATTCAAAGAGTGAATCACTAGTCAGGAAGAGGGAGATCACACTGTGTATTTAAAACAGAGGGTTATTAAGAAAGGATATTGGCTATAGAGGAGTTGGAATTGCTCAGGTTGAAGGAAAGAGTGTTTAAAAGCAAGAAAGAAAATGGTTGTTACCCTAAGATCAGGAAGCCACCACCACTCCTGGTCTGGATCCTATGACCTCACATAGGTTGCTATTCTGATGGAACCATACAACTCCTAAGCAGAAAAATGAGAGCTGCATTCCCACAACGACATTAGAACCCACACCCACTGATGGCATCTCAGGGGGCTGCCATTGCTGTGAATGCCAGAGGCTACTGCCTGAAGCATTTGAGTATGCTTTTTCTCCTTTCTTTTGCAATATCCTGCTAAGGCCTGTTATTAGAAGCCAGGAAGCATTTTATACCAGGAAACCAGCTGGCAAAGAAAGTCTGGGAGATGTAGTCTTCTGACTTCTACCTCCAGTGGCAGAGAGAAGGGCCGGTGCAGAGCTGAGAAAACAGCAGACATTATCTGCTACATATAAAAATACATTTGACCTATACTGGCTTAAAAATCCAAATCAGAAGAATATTCTGATTTATTAAACTTGCCCTTGAAATAAGATAAAGGGGTTGAGCCCATAATAATACCAGATGTTCATGTTCCTAGGAGGAAATAAGCAACAGAGAGGTAGGCCCCAACCTCCTACTTCTGATGTTACAGCCTTGAGGATGGACCCAGGGTGGTGTTAGGAGTGGGAGGGCAGAGAAAGACAGGGCTAGAGAAGGAGGAGTTTTTCAAAATTTCTCAGCCCTGGTTACAGACAGGAGTTATAGATGGGTGCTATATTCACCCTGTCACATGAAGCTCTGACACCACACCCTGTTTTTGACTCACTCTAGGTCTAGAAAGAGGATGTCTCTGTTATGATAGCTACTCTCTGTGACAGCTGTTCACAGCACATCCATCCTCTAGCCCAGAATGTGTAGCATTATATTATGGGACTGTCAATGAAAGATGGTGGGGATAAATAAGAAAGAGATCTCTTCTTCATTTCAGGTTTTATGTATTTATTTAACTCAAGCATTATTTATTTTTATACATTTATTTATTTATTTATTTATTTATTTATTTATTTATTTGAGACAGGATCTTGCTGTGTTGCCCAGGCTGCAGTGCAGTGGCACAATTACAGCTCACTGCAGCCTTGAACTCCCAGGCTCTGCAGCCTCTAACTCCCAGGCTCAAGTGATCCTCCCGCCTCATGCTGAGTAGCTGGGACTATAGGAATGCATCACCATGCTCACTAATTTTTGGGTTGTTTTGTTTTGTTTTGTTTGAGACAGAGTCTCACTCTGTCACCAGGCTGGAATACAGTGGCATGATCTCGGCTCACTGCAACCTCCCACTCCCGGGTTCAAGCCATTCTCCTACCTCAGCCTCCTGAGTAGCTAGGATTATAGGCACATGCCACCAAACCCAGCTAATTTTTGTATTTTTAGTAGAAACAGGGTTTCACTATGTTGGCCAGGCTGGTCTTGAACTCCTGACCTCATGATTTGCCCACCTCAATCTCCCAAAGTGCTGAGATTACAGGCGTGAGCCAACACACCCAGCCAATTTTTGTGTTTTTTTTGTAGAGATGATGTTTCACTATGTTGCCCAGGCTGATCTCAAACTCCTGGGCTCAAGCAATTCACCTGCCTCAGCCTTCCTGAGTGTTGGGATTACAGGTGTGAGCCACCACATCTGGCCAATCATTATTTATGTAAGTGCTAACCATGTGCAGGCACTATTTCAGGCATAGGGATTATAGTAGATGGGGAAAAAACAACAAGTAAAAATGTACAAGGAAGAGGAAGACAATAATGTAAGTTAAAGGTGGTGAGGACCATGAAAAGAAGAGAGAGCAGGAGTGGGGAAGGGTGGGAGGTGAAGACAGTACAAAGGTGAACACTGCCATTTCAGTTAGGTAAATGGGAAAGGCCTTACCAAAGAAGTAATATCTGAGCAAAGACTTAAAGAAGATGAATTAAGAATTCATGTGAACACTAAGGATAGAACATACCAGAAAATGGAAATCACAAATTCAAAGGTCCTAAAGCAAGATATGCCTGGTGTGTTTATAAAAGAGATCAGTGTAGCTGGAGGAGAGAAGTAGCAATGAGGTAGGAAAGGAGAATGAAGGTCACATCACAGAGGGCCCCAGAGGTCATTGTAAAGAATGTCTCCTCCTCAGAATGAGATGGAAAGGCATTGGAGGATCTAGAGCCAAAGAGTGGCATAATCTGATTTAGGGTTCTATGGGTTCACTATGGAGGCTGTGCAAATGGATGGAGGGGTATATGTGGGGATGCAGATGGTGAGGGTATATGCAGGAAAACCATTGGAATAATCCTGGCAAGAGATGTCCCATGGTGGTGGGTAGCGGAGATGTTGATAAGTAGTTTGTTCACATAAATAGAAAAAGGAAAGTACTCAAGCTAGCCAGAATTGTATCTGCAATATTTCACTTGAAAATCCATTCCAGGTCAGACCTCACCCCCAGCCCCGGCCCGGGACCCCCTCCCTTCCCGGGATCCCCCGGGGTTCCCACCCTGCCCACACCACCGGGGACCCGGCCGCTCCGGCGCAAGCCCTGTCCAGGGTCCGGGCTCAGCCCCCAGGTTGGAGGAGCCCGGAGGCAGCCTTCGGAGCCACGGCCCAACGGCGGCGGCGACTGCAGTCTGGAGGGCCCACACTTGTGATTCTCAATGGAGAGTGAAAACACCAATTCATAATGAAAACCAGTCCCCGTCGGCCATTGATTCTCAAAAGACAGCAGCTGCCCCTTCCTGTTCAAAATGGCCCAAGTGAAACATCAGAGGAGGAACCTAAGAGATCCCCTGCCCAACAGGAGCCTAGTCAAGCACAGGCCTCCAAGGAAGTGGCAGAGTCCAGCTCTTGCAAGTTCCCAGCTGGGATCAAGATTATCAACTACCCCACCATGCCCAACACCCAAGTAGTGGCCATCCCCAACAATGCCAATATCCACAGCATCATCACGGCACTGACTGCCATGGGAAGAGAGAGTGGCATTAGTGGGCCCAAGAGATTCATCCTTATCAGCTGTGGGGGAGCCCCAACTCAGCCTCCAAGACTCCAGCCTCAAATCCAAACCAGCTGTGATGCCAAAAGGACAGAAGTGACCGTGGAGACCTTGGGACCAAAACCTGCAACTACGGATATAAATCTTCCTAGACCACCTGGAGCTCTTTGTGGGCAGAAACAGGAGAGCCGTGCAGGTGGTGAGGCAGCAGGCTGCACTATCAACAATAGCCTCTCCAACATCCCGTGGCTTCAAAACATGAATTCTGATGGACTGGGCTCCTCCATCAAGCAAGACATGGAGGAAAAGGAGAATTGTCACCTGGAGCAGAGACAGGTTAAGGTTAAGGAGCCTTCGCGACCATCAATGTCCTGGCAGAACTCCGTGTCTGAGCGGCCACCTTATTCTTACATGGCCATGATACAATTTGCCATCAACAGCATTGAGAGGAAGCGCATGACCTTGAAAGACATCTATACTTGGATTGAGGACCACTTTCCCTATTTTAAACACATTGCCAAGCCAGGCTGGAAGAACTCCATCCGCCACAACCTTTCCCTGCATGACATGTTCATCCGGAAGACGTCCACCAATGGCAAGGTCTCCTCTGGACCATTCATCCCTGTGCCAACCGCTACTTGATATTAGACCAGGTGTTTAAGCCACTGGACCCAGGATCTCCACAATTGCCCGAGCACTTGGAATCACAGCAGAAACGACCCAATCCAGAGCTCCACCGGAACGTGACAATCAAAACTGAACTCCCCCTGGGCGCATGGCAGAAGATTGAAGCCACTACTACCACGGGTCAGCTCGTACCTGGTGTCTATCCAGTTCCCGGTGAATCAGTTGCTGGTGTTGCAGCCCTCGGTCAAGGTGCCATTGCCCCTGGCGGCTTCTCTCATGAGCTCAGAGCTCGCCCGCCATAGCAAGCGAATCCGCGTCGCCCCCAGGGTACTGCTACCTGAGGAGGGGATAGCTCCTCTTCCTTCTGCAGGGTCAGTGAAAGAGGAGAAACTCCTGTTTGGAGAAGAACTCTCACCTTTGCTTCCAGTTCAGTCTATCAAGGAGGAAGAAATCCAGCCTGGGGAGGAAATGCCACACTTAATGAGACCCATCAAAGTGAAGAGCCCTCCCTTGCAAGAGTTGCCGTCCCCAGCCCCATCTTTCAAAGAGGAATCTTCTCCATCCTGGGAGGATTTGTCCCAATCTCCCACCCCAAGACCCAAGAAGTCCTACAGTGGGCTCAGGTCCCCAACCCAGTGTGTCTCGGAAATGCTTGCGATTAAACACAGG